TCTCTCTCTACCCCATCTACTGTAATTCATTTCTCTCCTTGTTTATTTTCCCATTCCCCTCTTTTAAGTTAATTTTTTAAAAATATTTATTTTTTAGTTGTAGTTAGACAATATCTTTTATTTTATTTATTTTTATGTGGTCTGAGGATCAAATCCAGGGCCTTACATGTGCTAGGCGAGCACTCTACAGCTGAGCCACAATCCCAGCCCTAATTTTTTTTTTTTTTAAATAGCCAGCAGAGAGTGTGATATGGTTTCATTGCTTTGAGAAATTGCTGGCAGCACTGAATCTGTACATAGGCATGTCCTGTGACCCCTCAGTGCTATCTCTGGGTATATATCAACAGATAAGTACAGCCATGCTCTCCAAATACATGTTTAAGAAAGTGCACAACACTATATGTAATATCCAAGTATTATAGACAATCACAGGTTCATCAAAAGTTAAACAGGAAACTATGGTATAGTCATCCAACAGAATTTTATACCACAAATCAACAAAGAGAATGACTTGATACACAAACATGTAAGGGTTTCACAGATAAGTGAAAAAACAGAAACAAAAAAGCAGGTATGATTCTGTTTATATACACTACAGTCAAGCTAAATGAATCAGTAGTATTACAAATTAGGATAGTGGTTACTCTGCTAGGGACTGTGAGAAGCTCAGTGTTAAAACACCCCTGGGTCCAATCTCCAGTACATTTTTTTTWAAATGAAGTATTTTTGATACACAAATGTTTATAGCAAAACCTGAACCTTAAAGATGGAAAACCACCTAAATTTCTATCAACAGGAAACTGGTTAAATGAAATATAAGCCATCTGTATTRCATAGGCTACTACAAGGGTCTCCTAGTGTCCCTGGCCATTGGCTCCACCAATGTTGTTTCTGCTCAACTGAGGGTATCTAGAAGTTAAATATAAAATAGTGGCATAGGTAAAGATATCCTAGCCATTAGGCAAAACTACATAAACTGGCAAAGATAATCAAAGAATAGAGCAAGTTAAAAGATAAAATTAGTTAAAAAGAAATCAAACTAATTTTGTAATATAAAAATCYGTATTAGCAGTATTCTCCATCAATTAGAAATAATTTGCTATAAATGACATTGATCCATAAGCAATTATTCAATCATTTAAAATTATGAGTTATTTCATGTATGTCACTTCTGGAAAACTGAAGATATCTTTTCCATCCTTTACCCAAAGAATGCAATATAACTGGGTTTCTTCTATTTTGTGATTTGTTTCCACACTTATATTTACTTGACAAAGACGATTCTACTTTCCTAACTTATGTTAAAATGAAATTAGAAAAATCAACACTCCCTTTTCCCTATGATGCCTAATACAACTCACATGTCAGATACAATAAGTCTCTCTTGAGCTACACCATGCCCAAATAGTCCATTTCATATGAGAAAGCAAACCAAATAAAACTTTTAAAACTTCTACCAACTTGGTAAATGAGACACTGTGCTAAGTTTAGGACATCTTGGAATGATACAGATGTGAAATCAGAAGGGGGATAAATTAAAGTTTAGTCAAAAGAATAACACTGCATTAAAAATAAGCCATTCCATCACCACCGAATGACTTGCCACAAAAAATATAAAACTACTTGACTACTGTTACCATGAGTATTTATGGTAGAGACCACAAGTTTCTTTCCCTTCTGCTACAAAATCAAGGGCAAGAAAATAAGAAGGCTGGTTAAAATGACAAAAATAATGATCTATTTCTGAGATGGGTTGGTCAGGCTAGTAGACAAGTGGAAACTCAATCAGAAGGTTCCTTTAATACTTTCTCAGTTTCAAAACTTGAAAATATAAAAATTCCTTGGATGCTACTCTGGCAAAAATGTGTTATATAAACATAAATCATATTTTATTCACCTCCAACCTAAGTTATCACAAAATATTAGTTTTTACCCACTTAGCATTTCACTATTGTGGATTATCACTACTTTCAGAAGAATAGTGATTAACATTCCCAGAAACCGAAGTCCATTTCACTTTTAAAATGCCTGTCATCCAGCACCTTATTTCTCC